TGTCATTTGTGCATGAAACTAATGTTTTATGTCTAGGTTTATGTATGGTCCATTTTAATCTGTTCTCTGGTTGGTGGGATATAGTTTTACACTTATTTATGAATATACCTGCATCTCTGCACACTTAGTATATCTTTCAGTGTATCAGTGTACATTTACATCTTGCTCTATGTCTGTGAATATGGAGAGTGAAGAGCTCTGACTGGTGCAGTGCATGTGTAGAACTATATGAGCATTCATTGCAAATGGCTTTGTTAGTTATTTAACTAGCATCTGCTTGATAACCTACAATGTGCCAAACACACTGGCTCAGATAAAACTTGGAATGAATATAATTAACTGTAGATACAGGTTGACATTGCCAAGTGGCAAGTAGAGTTGAAAAGCAAGCAAAAGGAATAAAGTAGTGAGCTAAAGCAGTGTGGATACTGCCTTCATAGAGCTTAGAGTTGAACGAGAGAGATAGGCATTGATTATATAACATACGATAACTGTGATTATATGATTGTCAATTAGGATAAGGTCTTTGAAGGAAAGGAATATGTTTCCAGGAGAGCAGGAACCTGATGTAGTCTAGAAATCTTCCCTGAAGACACTGGAGCTAAGAACTGGTGGATAACTAGCTGTTGATTAAAACAGGAGGGAGAGATTTCTTGGAAGAGACAATGCAAAGCAGAAAGCAAAAAGCGACAGAAAACAAGGAGGAAAAGGCCGAAGTAGCTAAAGCATAGAAGGAGGAATGGTGTGAGTTGAGGCAGGATGAGAAAATACTGAGGACTTGGTTTTATTCCACGCACAGTGGGAGGTCAAAGAAATGTTTAAATCATGGCCTAACATGATCAGTCTCTCTGACCGCCAGAGGGATTCATTCACAGAGTAGATCTGGATAGAAAAGCTGGTTGTTTCTATAGCTCAGAACAGGATTTCTCAGAGACAAATTATCCAAGGTAGGTCAGTGGATGAGCTCAAGTGAACCAACCAGACTTGGATTTGGTTTTTGAAGGATAATAAGATTTCAGTTAATAATTCCAGGTGATCTAAACCCAATCTCTAGGTGTTAAAGTGGCTAAAATCCTCAATTTTCTTGTTTAGATCATAAGGTTCTTAAGTACAATCACTGTGTCTTGCTTATCAAAAAGTGTTTATCAAAGGTGCCTGGTTAGCTCAGTCAACCGTTAAGTGTCAAACTCTTGGTTTCTTCTCAGGTCATGATCTCATGGATCATGAGATAGAGCCCTGTATGGGGTTCCACACTCAGTGGGGAGTCTGCTGGAGATCCTCTCTGCCCCTCCTCCCACTTGTACACTCTCTCTCTCTCTCAAATAAATATTTTTTTAAAAAGTATTTGTTGAACTTTGTGAAAACCTACTGAATTTCTCAGAATCTATTTGATAGAGACATGATCCTCTGATAACTCTCTTTGACCCAGGTACCCTGAGCATCACTGTCCTTCGCCCTTTTCATGAAGCATCACCATGGCTAATGAAGAAAGAATTAGATACAATTGTTCCTCCTAATCTCCAGTCAAGGTCATGGGAGACATTCCCCTCCATTGAGGTATACATTTTTCCTTCTGGAAAGTCACTACACTTGTATATCCATCCATCAATTTTTGGAGTCTTGGGTCTTCTCTCATACAGTGACATATTTTCATTCTTTTGTAAATTGTTATTGGGCTCAGGAGATTTGTATTTGAAGACTCTAACATTTGTAGCTTTTAGAGAAATAGACCCGTCTAGCTAAATCTCAGTTTTATTTCTTTTAGCCTACATTGCAGAAATAGTATGAAAATATCCACTCTGAGTAATGCATGTTCTACCTCTCCTATCATGGAATTACTGATATCGGCCAATACAGAAATATTTCCTTCTCTCATTCCTTATCTGTTAGTTTTAACACACAATTTAGATCTTTCACACTCACTTTATCCCCTAATTTACTAATGCACAGACTGAAGCATGTAAGAATAATGTGAAGGATGTTACAAAGGATTTGCAACCACAATGTTAGAAAGTAAACACTGTAATTATGTCAGATTAGAGAAGCCCCACCTAAAGTCTTTCTAAAGATTGGAAGAAAACATCTTGAGCAAGAAACATGAAGTCCTGCATTGTGCAAGATTTGACATTTCATTTTGCAGGCAATTTGTGTAACATGTTCAGCATATTGTCAGATGTTAAATTATTAAATCAATGAGCACATTGATAAAATGATCAGAGAGACATACTAGTGTTAGGTGGGGAGGATAATGTTTTTGATGTATAATGAATTTTCCTTCCCCAAACAATCTGGTAAGATCAAGGGTGCAGATAATGAGCACTTAAGATAACCAAGACCTTGGGGGACCTGGGTGACTCAGTCAGTTAAGAGTCTGCCTTTGGCTCAGGTAATGATCCCAGGGTCCTGCTCAGTGGGAAGCCTGCTTCTCCCTCTCCCTCTGTCCCTCCCCTACTTCGTGCTTGCTCTCTCTCTCTTTCTCTCTCTCTCGCCCTCTCTCAAATAAATAAATAAATAAATAAATAAATATTTTTTTAAAAAAAAACAAAGACCTCTTAGTCCTATATTTTAATTGACTGTAACCAATATGGTGAATGAAGATGATCTGATTGTAGTCCTGAGTCTTCCAATTATTAATGTGGGATTTGGGACAAGTCACATTGGCTCTCTACTTCCTGAAAAATAAAAAGGCCACACCAAATGGCCCACTAAGGCTATATCCAAGCTGAAAGTAGTGATTCACGACCAATAACATGCCACATCTAAGATTAATGAAGGACACTCATTCTCTTCCTCTGCAATTCCTAAAGCTCTGACCTTCTCTGCCCAGTAGCAGTGGCTCTGCCCAGGTGAACCTCTGAATGGTTATCACTGACCAGGCATCAGAGATTGAATAGCAGCTTACAAAGAAGCACATCAGAGATTCTACCAGACATAGGGCATCCAAGCACACTACCCCCGAAAATCAATTATAAGAATAATATAAAGATGTGAATTTGCTCTGATGTAGACATCCATGCCCAGTAGACATGCATACCCAGGAGACTCTGGGGACATGCTTAATCTAGAGTGAGCTCAAAAACTACCCAAATCTATGGGATGATTGCTCTCTTAATCTCTCTAGGTCAAAATGAACATGAAAACAGGAAGTTAAAAACTGCTTATTCCAAATGTCTTAGGCTACTTGTGGGTAGTAAGCAATACCCACATACATTAGGCATAAGCTAAGCTACATTTCCATGATACCACATTGCTTACTACTCCCCTAAAGGCTATCCAGTGGGACATAGTGCTGCAGGATTTTAAAATATCCAGATTCCTGATAACACATATAAAAAGGAAAGCTTGCCCAGTTCTGCTACCAATTTTCCTTATATTCGAGAAACTTTCAGGGAGCAGGGATTTTTTGTCTTTTTACTATTGTATTCCCTAATAAGTGGTTCTTAGCATAGTATCTACATAAATAAGGGCTCAGCAAAAACAAATAAATAAATAAAATTAATATTAGGACTTTTTTTTTTTTTTGGTTGGTTGTTTTGCTTTGTTTTAACAGAAAAAAACTCCTGGACCTCCACTTGGCACTCAAATTTGGAAGGGCCTTGACGTTGGGTCCAAACAGCTAGTAAGTGCCCCAGCCCCTATACGCAAGAGTCCCAAGGTGCTACAGATGCGCCAGTTCATCCAGCATGAGGTCATAAAGGATGAGGTGAAATTGAAGTTGCAGATTTCTCTTAAGGTAATGGAAGTCAGGTAACTTGACCGAGAAGAATCGGGAACAGGGCAATTATTCCTCTTGGTTTCCTGAGGAACCTGAAATTATGTAATTCTCCCAGTATTTATTTAATGCAACACATGAATGTCAATTTTCCAGAGGGTAGGACGTTAAGAGGTAGAAAATAATGGTTCCCAAAAGGTATAGGAAGTATTGAGGCCCTGAGACATTGAAAAGATAAGTAAGTTCTACATGTGATTGCCATATAGAGTCCACCTTCTTTCTTATTGTATGGGAAACTGGTTTAATGACCTCTGGAAAAAGGTAGAGCTGTTTATTAATCTGATACTTGTCCATGGAAGAAAAGTACTGTTGGTTTTTGGAAATGGTCTAAGAATTTGTAAATATATAGTCAATTGTATAAACTGCATCTGTAACATCTCACTGTCTACTTTGTTAACTGTCTCAGAATGAGATCATATGTGTTTTGCTCAAGGTTATATACCTAGCACCTCGCATAGAGCAAGGGACCATTTATTTATGAGCATAAGTACTTATGGGCTCCTGGGTGGCTCAGTCATTAAGCGTCTGCTTTTGGCTCAGGTCATGATCCCAGGATCCTGGGATTAAGCCCCGCATCGAGCCCTGCATCGGATCCCTGCTCAGCAGGAAGCCTGCTTCTCCCTCTCCCACTCCCCCTGTCCCCCTGCTTGTGTTCCCTCTCTCACTGTATCTCTCTCTGTCAAATAAATAAATAAAATCTTTAAAAAGAAAGAAAGAAAGAAAGGAAGGAAGGAAGGAAGGAAGGAAGGAAGGAAGGAAGGAAGGAAGGAAGGAAAGAAAGAAAATAAAGATAATAGGTACTTATGGAAAAAGTAAAATATATTTCTCTTGGAAGGAAAGGCATGGACAAAGACTAAACTTACATTCATAGAATTATAAAGACTATCCCTGGAGAGGACTCTAGAAACCATCTAACCCAAATCTGTACATTTTATTGATGAGGACACTGGAGCATAGAGTTAGAAGCCGGGCCTCTCTGAAGTCTTCATGGAGTTCTAGTATCTTGTGGCCCTCCAAGTTTTGTCTTTGGACTTTGCAGGTCTTTGCTAATTAATACAATTAAGGAAAAGGTTTTCCAGATTGCTCATCCAGTAACTGGTTTGTTGAGCACTGCAAACTTATATATTCTTACTCTTTTTGTAGTATTTCAAGTTGATGTTGACTATTTTGGTGTCTCTTTCTACCTTATTTCTATTTTTTATTGATTTGTTTTATTCTGCTGACTTAGGATTATATAAACCATATTCTAAAGAAAGAAGACAAGCTGCAGGAAATGACTGTTAAAGATTCCAGAACCGAGGAGGAGAGGGGCAATGCTGCAGATCTCCTCAAGCTAGTTATGGTGAGAAAGAAAGATTTTTGTACCAGTATTTTTAGTGTTGTTTCAGTATTAGGTGCCTCAAGACAAAATATTACAACTAAAGCTGTTTCTGCCACTTCTGTGGACCATTTGCTCTGTCCTTATAATTTCTTATTTCTGGGGAAATCTGATTCCTCATGTACTGAATTTTCCAAATGCTTTTTAGGCTCTTCCTTAATTCATAAATAATTCTGAAGGCTCTTAAATAAAAGCTTATATTATCTTTCAAGAAACTGATGTTCATCAAAATGTTGAACGAATTGGTTGATTAATGAATGACATAGGAAGAAGGAAGAAAAAGGAATTTTTACAACTTAAAATGATTTGCACTTTGAAAAAATTGTTAAGTGAAAGGGATGGCTAAAAAAAATCTAATAAATTTTGTATTGGCATTAAAAAACTAATTCATGGGGCACCTGGGTGGCTCAGTGGGTTAAAGCCTCTGCCTTCGGCTCAGGTCATGATCCCAGGGTCCTGGGATCGAGCCCCACATCGGGCTCTCTGCTCAGCAGGGAGCCTGCTTCCCCCTCTCTCTCTGCCTGTCTCTCTGCATACTTGTGATCTCTCTCTCTCTCTGTGCCAAATAAATAAATAAATAAAATCTTTAAAAAAAAAACTAATTCATTTTATAGTAGTTTCTGTACAAGATCAATTTGAACACATGAAGAATGCTTTTAAGCAAAGTGAATTTGTATGTAATATAATCATCAACATTAAGGAATTCTATCTTCGTTTCAGTCATTCCCTAAAATGGAACAAACTACGAAAAGTCATGTAACTGAAGGTAACTACTTTAATATTTTAACTTTAAAATTTTTCTGCAAAATATTTAAAAATCTTAAATACACTTCTCAGTCATTCCTTCATCTGATAGCAAGGTACCATGTACATATTTCTGTTGCCATATTGACCATGTTGTACCGTAATGATTTATTTACTTTTTTTCCTGCCTAAATTGTGAGATCCTTGAAAACCATGAGTGCCTCTAATTTATTTTTAACTTTGATTTGTTGAATGAAAATAGTTGACATCTGACATTTATGTTAACCTCAGCTTGTATTTCCAACATAGCTAAGATACAGAGACACAGTCAACCAGCCAACACTCTCCTAATGGCATGTGCTTGCAAGCACACACATTTGCAGAACTTTTGAGCAACTACAGTTATCACCAAAACTTTGCACTTGTATATATATCAAGCAGTCTAAGAAAATATCCTCACTCAAAGTATATTCATTTGGGGGAATATACCACTCCAGCAAACTTAGTTATGTGATTTCATAGTTTGCAGCAGACAAGCCCACCAGAATTTGGTGGTTTGGGATTTTCTTCTCCTTTTCTATTTTGGCCATATGACAAAGGTCAGAAACTGGCAGGCATAGGCTTCATTTAGGCCACAGATGTGTTTTATGTGTCCCCCACAGTGTTAGCTTGTACAGTTATTTTTATTTATATGAATTTTCCATCTCTTGAAATGTGACATTACCACACAGTGATGTTTGGCTGAATGTAATTAACAGCTGCACCTTTAGAGTTACCATGAACAAAAGAATCAACCCTCACAACCCTCAGTTGCCACTCCGTTGTCACTCTTTCACATGGGAAGCCCATTACACTAGGACTGTCAATTTAACAAATAAAAACACAGAAGGCCCAGTTAAATTTCAGTTTCAGATAAATAACAAGTAACCTTTCCATATAAGTTTATTTCATGTTAGATTTGGGACATAGTTATACTAAAAAATTATTTGTTGCTCATCTGAAGTTCAAATTTAACTAGATGCCTTATACTTTATCTGGGATGTATACCTTGCAGCATTTGAATCTGTGACTTGTGGTGTGAGGGGACAGTCACCACAGAGGTAAATGGGTAGGTTGCCTAATAATGAAGGACGAACTAAATATATTTTTCAAACATACTAACAAACAAACAGACAGAAGAGTCAAACAGGGTCTTGCGTACTTACAGCTACTCTTGAAATATTCATAGTGGTGATTTTAAGTCAGTGCTCTCCAAAGTATTTCCCAAAATTTCCCAAAGTATTTCACTAGTTTGTGAAATGGCTGCCCCCAAAATGAATTTTATGATAAAATAAGTTTGGATAATCCTGTATATTGCCTTATTTTTTAGAGAGCCAGAGTGTAAATTAACTAAATCCTACAATAACAAAACATATTTAATCTTGTATAAATCAGTGTTTCCCAAGTTCATATAACCATAAAACATGGAACCTTTTTAATTTTATCATGTTCTGGGGAATAAACTCAGAATAACCGCCCAAATTATCAAACAACTGTTGTATTATATTTATATCCTTAGATTTTTTTGAAGATAAACAATTTCAACAATATGGTTCTTTTTTTTTAAAGTTTTGGTGTTCCAGGTATGAAGAAATTCAGTTAGATAAAACACTGATACTCCTAATGCTGTAGGATAAATGAGAGGTCAATACATTTTACATTTTGACAATAAGATGTGTGTTTGCTCATAGGATATTTCCTACAACTGGTCTGGTTTACTGTTATATTACAGCTTGGTCATGGAAATTCTATAAAACACTTAATACATTAAATATAGGCTCTTAGAAACCCTCTCAAGTGAGTCTTCGGGGACTGACTATGCATTGTGCTATCAAGAAGAGAGGATAAAAGTTAAATGTGTCTCTTTTTAAAGTTGCAGCCCATCTATCCGATTTATTCAAGGAGTCTTTGCCTGCTGCTCCAGAACGTTTGCCAGAAACATTGGATTCAGATTTCTTTGAAAAGAAATGGAGGTAAGTTGATCCCGTACTGTGTTCCAATTAGCGTGAAGCATACCAGTGATTGAAAAAATGGAGAGGGACAGAGTCCTAACTCTGGGTGATGACATCAGTGAGTTCTCAGCCTCTCCTCTCCTACACTATCAACAATTTATCAGACAGTAGAGGTGCTTCTTGTATTGTTTGGGAGCTGAGAATATTGCCCTTTCCCATTGTACTTTCCTTTCCTTTCCCCCAGGTACACAATAAAAGCAATGCACTGGAAAAAAAAGTTGGAACAAAAGAGGTAATTCTATCTTGAAGTGTATATAAACATGTGAAAAGGCCCAGTCTTGTGGAGTCATGGAAATGGGAGAAGTTGAAAGGTCCTACCATCTAGGCTCTCCGCTCTTATTTGAATCTCTTCTACATTTTTGCTTAGTGCTCACTCAGCTTGTGAGTGAGGATGTCACCATCTCTAGAGGAAACCTGTTTGACCATTACATAGATCCACTCCTTTTCATAAGCAAGAAAGTTCTTAGGTACTCTCTGTGCTCTAGTAATTGTAATATACTAATAAATATACTAGAACTTAATGCAGAGCCTAGTCATCAACTTTCAAGGTTCTTATAATTCGATGAGGAATGTGCTCTCAGTGTTATGTGCTTTGGTTTCCTTTCATTCCTAGCTGAAGATACCACCCCACCAGGAAAGGAAGCCAGATAATATTTACTGAGTATATCGTAGTACATATGGTACTGCTGCACACATTTGCAAGGTTCCTCTCCAAAATGACTGGAGGAAGGATGAAGACTCTTCTTTATAAAAATGTCTGGGTTACCTTGTAGAATGTGTGGGAGAAGTAGTGAGATAGGACCCTCCATTTTATGGACTACCCCTATATTCAAGGTCAAATTAGAAGGTATGGTATTATCTCATAGAATACCCCTGCAAGGAGTTCTGAGAGAACAGTGACAATGTTGCCTACAGGGAAGGAGATGGAGAGGTTGGGGGACAGTGTGGGATGCAGACTGCCTTTTTATTACATACTCTTTAATACTTTCTGAATTATGTGCCTTTGTTATCTAGTCACATTTTTAAAATCTTTGAAACATTTAACAATTTCAGGTTTTAACCTACAGGAAGATAATGGCAAGCCAATGGAAGTTTTTGAAGAAGAAAGTAAAACACATAATTAGATTTTTGTCATAGAGAATGGTTTGCAGCATGTAAACAGATCTGGGGGAGGAGGGTTAAGAAATGAGAGAGTTTGCAGGAAATGGAGGGTGATCAACAAGTATCAGATTCTATGGAGGAATCAGAAAGGAGAATGAAAAGAGGAATTTGGGTTTATTACCTGAGAGACTTATTTTGTGCGAACAGCTCTAAGAGAGTGTAAACAATAGGCCACACTGCCATAAACTGAGGAATGAATCAGTGAGGCAGTAGAGAGAAGATATTTTAATAGGAAATCAAAGTTGTTTGAGTAAGATGATATTTTGATGTGGCCAGTATTTTCTGACAGAAAAGCTAGTATAAGAAAGAGGGCACTAATCTTATGTCAGCAGACCTAGAGTCAGTTCCAGTTTGATTACTTACAGCTAAATGATGCCAGCTGGTTGTTTCAGTTCAATAAAATTTACCTCATGAATTCAGTTTGCTTATCTATAAAATGAGGATAATTGGGCCATTTAATACCTGAAGTGTCTTTCAGCTCACACATTGGGCTAACTAGCATATACACTTATCCAGATCATGGGCTTGCGGGCAGGCAACCTGGGTTTTAATTCAAACTTCACCACTTACTAGTTACGTGATTTAAAGAATGTTACTTACCTTTTCGACACCTTGATGTTTTGACCAGAAAAACAGGGATAATAATAGTAACTCATAGAGTTAGTGTAAGATTAGATGTGTAAAGCACTTGGTAAAATTTCTGGTATGTAATAAGAACCTAAAAATGAGAACTATCTCAAATAAGATTAGGTTCATCTACATTTAACAGACAACCCCTCAAGTCAGGGCTTTTACAAGAAAGTTTACCTTTCCTGATGTAAAAGAAGTCAGAAATGAGTAGTCCATGGTAAACAGCACCACAACATTGCCAGAAACTCAGATTTCTTCTTTTTGTCTGTTCATCATTCTTTTTTTTTTTAATTTTATTTATTTATTTATTTATTTGACAGAGAGAGATCACAGTAGACAGAGAGGCAGGCAGAGAGAGAGAGAGAGGGAAGCAGGCTCCCTGCTGAGCAGAGAGCCCGATGCGGGACTCAATTCCAGGACCCCAAGATCATGACCTGAGCCAAAGGCAGCAGCTTAACCCACTGAGCCACCCAGGCGCCCCGTGTTCCATCATTCTTAGTGCATGATTTCCATCCTTAGTTTGTGTCGTGGTTGCAGAATCACTGCTTCAGCTGAGGCCATTTCATCCATATTTCAGGAAGTAGGAAAAGAGATGAGACAAGGACAAAGGGAAAGCCTCTCTGCTGTATTGGCCTTCTTTAAAGGCTATCTGGAATCTTACCCGATGGCTTCAGTTTCTCGTCATTGGCCTTCCCTCTATATAGGAAAAGCTGGGAAGTAAAGTTTTTAGCTGGTGTATTGCCTCCCCAGTCTAGGGTTCTCATATTGGAAAGACAACTAGCAGGGTTATCATGATTGCTTTTATTTTACTTCCTAATCACTGAGACCACACTAGTCATAAACCATTCCTTAGGTTTGGGTTTTAGCTTTTGTTAACCATGCTACTGAAATTATAGAAATCAGTAGAATCAAATGGGCATTTAAACCTCAGAGAATTGAAAGACATGCAAAAGAGGTAAACCATGTGGATTTTAGTCTTTTGAGATCAACTGTAGAAAACGCTACCATGGGGCATCATTATTTACTATCTTAAAGGAAAGTCTGATTTCTGAAGTAGGAAATGTGACTGATTCTAGAAGGAGCAGAAAATGAACCAAAGCAAACTGACAAAAAAAATTTCTGATGAGTTAGTTCTTACCAGCTTTATTGTTGGTGATTCCATTTTCTGTGGGATTTAAAGCTAAAATTCTGTGTCTTCTTTTTGTCATTATGGAAATATCAACCAGGAAAGAAATTGAAAACACAAAAAAATACCTAACGGAAATTAGAAACAAAGTAATATCACCCTACTTCAAATCTGAATTGAGCAAGTGCTATCAGTCTCAGGTAATTGAATGTAATTAACAACAATCGACTAAGAGTCTTTACAAAAGTTAATGCAATGCATGTGTCATTATGTAATCAACCTTTCTGATGTTTCTTTCCTGCCTCAACCCAACTGACTTTACCTTTCATCGAATCCATGTCCTCACAAGCATATGAGAGGGAAAACTAATTTCAGGACTTGCACCTAAGGAGAAGTTTGCTGCCAATGTATTATTACTACTCCACCTCTCTGCCTTGCCTTGTCACTATTAATTACCCTCTACCATCCATTTTAAGCCCTTTTTTGGGTCAAATTCTCCCTATTTTTATCCTCTTATAGATTCTATTTTGAAGTTTTTATTCCATTAAAATTTCTGTCCTCATCTGCTCTTGAAATAGCACTGAATTACTATGCGTTCTTGGAAGCCCATGGAGATAGGGCACTCCACTTCTATGAACCTTGAAACTCCCAAGCAAAGTGAATATTTTCATGTGTTTTGAGCTGCCTGTATTGCTACAAATGTTCCAGTTGCTATTATTAGCCAAAAGCTGCCAGAGAAAAAGTTATAAGAAGTTATGACAGATTGACAAAATCTAGAACTGAGTTAAACAGTCTCTTGAAAAACATGTAGTTTGCCAACTTTCTTTTCGGAGCCTAAAAAAAAAAAAATTGCTTTTATCATTGCTCATCAATTTAATGTACTTGTGACTATTGCCTTCCAGGCTTGCTTAAGTCTTAAAGGAAGTCTTTTGGTTTTTCCTTTCAGTTTAATTATCTGGACACCCTTTCTAAAAACCTGCCTCCTTTTACAAAGAGGGAGGAAGACACAAACAAAACAACTCCTAAGAAGATAGCTGATCTTCCTCCAGGTAACGTGTTCATGTAGCTGTTAGTCCTGTTAATGGGCTTCAATGAAGAGTGCCTAACAAAGGCCTCTTAAGACAGAACTTGTTCCTACCACCTTTGTCTCAGTACTAGTTAATGGCATGACCTTTTGTGACTTGTATATTATAAATTTGGCTGAGTTATTTGAGGAAATCAAGATAAAAATAAAATTTGGTTTTCATCCCGCATGCTTAAAATTTACCTAAAAACATTTAAAGAGCTGACTAATTTACAAATCAAGGGAGTAATGAAAGGATGGTGGAAAATAGGGCAAAAATGCAGGTTTGAGTTATCACTTCACATAATACCTAATTATAAAGAGGAAAATGCGTCTTTACAATGGAGAGCTATGGCATTTTCCAGCTTAACCAAGCGATCAGATTTCTACCAATTGTGACAGTCTAGCATTAGGTGTTTTTTCACATAGTACAATATGAAGTGCTTAAGACCTATGTAGAATTCTTGCCCAAAGTCCTTAACTTGAATTTAACCAAGAGGAAACAATCAGACAAATCCAGAATGTAGACATTCTATGAAACGACTGTCCTGAACTCTTCAAAAAAGTCAATGACATTAAAAGGAAAAAAAATGGAACAATTGTTCTGTATTAAAAGAGACTATGGGCACCTGGGTGGCTCAGTTGGTTAAGTGGCTGATTCTTGATTTCTGCTCAGGTCATGATCTCAGGGTTCAGCCACTACATTGGGCTCCCCACTCAGCAGGGAGTCTGCTTGAGGATTTCTCTCCCTCTGCCCCTCCCCCTGCTTGCTCTCTCCCTCTCTCTCTCAAATGGAAGGATAAATCTTGAAAAAAGAGACAGAGAGATCGAGACTTATGAGGCATATAAACTACATGCAACACATAAATTTGGGTGCTATGTTGAGAAAATAAACAGATTTTGGAGCAACTACACAAATTTGAAGAGAGGACTGTATAGTTGAGGGAATTGTGGAATATCTGTGAGTTTTCTTGGATGTGATGACAGTGCTACAGATGTGTAGAACAATGTCTCCATTTCAAGAGATGCATGTTGGAGACTTTAGGGATAAGATGGAATTTAGTACTTCTCTTTAATAAACTGGGTAGTAAAACCACCCAGATAGAAGGGTTTTCTACTGCACAATACAATATCAGAGGCTCAGCTTCCTGGAATGAGCATAACCAAAGGAAACCTCTGATTACCCCAGAGATTGCAAAGAATAAGCCTGGAACAACAACTTAGACATGAGATAGGAGAAATGAGAGATGAAGGTGGATGGTGCTGGTGCCCGTCTACTGCCAGGCAGACAATTCTCATCAATGAAGCCTACTGTCCCCTTGAAAGGGGTTGATGCCACAGGTTTCTCAACAGTCCTCCAGCAGCCCACACTATTCAGCCAGGGTTGCCTACATACAAGTTTAAATCCCCAGTCCTTGATAGATATATATTTTTTTAAACATTTTTTTATTTGAGAGAAAGAGAGAGAGGGTAGGGGAGGGGCAGAGGGAGAGAGAGAATCCTGAAGTAGCCTCCCATCCAAGCCTGGACTCTGGGCTTGATCCCAGGACCCTGAGATCATGACCTGAGCCAAAATCAAGAGTGCGACACTCAGCCAACTGGGCCACCCAGGCGCCCCTTGAAAGATTTATTTTAAATTTGTTTCATGTTGTACTTCTTAGATATATTTTAATAAAGAGTCACATCATCATAATAATGAATGGATTTAAGATTGGAAACTTAAAAAAAAAAAAGAATCACATCTCGGTTACTCTGGCCAGGGTAAAAGTTTACCAGGTCTCTGCTTCATAACCCAGCCAAGATAACTACTGTGTTATCTCATAGAACCAACTAACTCTCAGGGAGTGTGTTCTTTGTAGATACTGTCCTTTCATTAATGGCAAACATTACTTCGTATAATGAAGACTCTCTCCCTCTGACTGGACTTCTTCCATGTGATCTTTCTAAAGGCGAGGGTGGTGGGAGCACCCTGTTCATGATAAAAAAGAATAAAAACAACAGTAGTCCTTGTATCATTGTCCAGAATATCACTTTATAATATTTTTGGGGGGTTTTCTAGATGGCCAGCCAGATTCAGAGGAGGAATCCCCACAGTCCCCACGGCATCTTCTGAAACTGAAGAATTTTGAGGATATCAAGGAGTCTGCTGGCCAGAACCAAACTGAACATTTAGAAAAACCTACCGAAGGTATGGTAGACATTTGCTTTATTCTATTCATTCCCCAAACTGAACATTATGTCTTTTTGGACTAAGGAATATGGCACTGAGAGCTGAGTGTATGGTTGGTCATTACAGAAAAAATTCTAAAGGGTCACAGATCCTGAAGCGAAGGAACTTTGTAAGGCTTCTTAGCATATCAAAGTATCTCAAAAAATGTTTTGAGAATGACTGAAAGCCCCATAGTAAAAGGAAAAGATGGCAAATGTGTTTTTGTAGATTATTATTGTATTCTATTGCTTTATTTTATATTATTATTTTATTTATTTTATTTTAATTAATTTCTTGCCTTATTTGATTTTTATCCCTCAGGGATCTGAGAGTTTGCCTTATGTACTAAAGATCAGGAAACTGGTAGCTTTGTTGAAGCAGCCAGTAATTTGGTAGTTAGGCTCAGATTGACCTGCCATTTCAGTACTTTCTTGGTCTTCAGGTGCTAGAAGAGAAACATAGAATATTTATGCAGCACATCATCTCATCGAGGTAACAGAAATTAAAGTATGGAATAATACAAAGTAATTGTCGTACAGGGAAATCACATTACACTGATCTCACTGAAGTCAATTCAACTTTATGGTTGGTCAGCAAAAAGAAAAACAGAGTAATTTAAATCATGTAGGTGAATTTGCACTTCTTGATGCCTGTGGACATGGCCCATAGTGAAAGTGAACTGGAAGTTTGCCAATAGGTCTTAGTTACCTCTTATAGAGGGAGCATCTTGACTGGGATGTCTAGTTGATGTCGCATTTTGGGTAACTTAAGGGATTTGCCTTTTGCCTTCCTGATTTTAATGTTATCTCTTGTATAAAGTTTATTCATTTAGTGGATAATTTGTTCAATGCCTACTGTCTGCCAGGCATGTTCTAGGTGCAGAAATGCAACAGTTAAGAAGCTAAAGTCTTATAGGGCTGTGCCTACTATGGACAGACCTAGATAGTAAGTAAACAAATGAATTAGATAAATTCAGATTGCTTGCACAGAGTAAAACCACATATAATGTATAGAGAGTGTCTTGGGGAGAGGGATGGCATTTCATTAGGGGGTGAGAAGGCTCCTCTGGGAAAGGACATCTGAGCTTAAACAGAATGACAGGAAGGAGCCAACCATGCAAACCCTGGGGGAGGGGAATGGTGCAAGTAGTGGGAACAGCAAGTATGAAGACCCTTAGGGAAGAAGAAGCAGAAAAGTTGGCATTTAGCTAGAAGAAAATGGACAAAGGAAGAGGCAAAAGGTGAGGTCAGAGATAGGAGTAGAGATAAGACTGTGTGATGCCACATAAGGACTTTTGGGCTTTAGTCTATGTGTAGTTTTTAGTTAAACACCACTGGAAGGTTTTAAACAGGGTAGGAGCATGACTAATCTGTATTTTTAAAAAATTACTCTAGTAGCTGTGTGGATAATAGCTTATGGTGGGGAAGGGGGCATAGACAAGTGGAAACTGTGGCGGGGGAGGAAGCCACTGAGGCAGGACATGTGAGCCCCAGCAGAGACCTGGCCAGAGCAGTGGAGGCAGAGAAGGTGGAAAGCAAATTAACTGGAACCATATATTCTGGAGGTAGAGCCAACGGGACTCACTGGTTCACTGGATGTGAGGCTGAAGGGTAAGAGAAACTGAGGATGGTTCCCGGGGTAAGTACCACGGGACCAGTCTTGAGGCTGAGAATGTGTAGCTGTAACAGGTTTCAGGTGGCGCTAATGTTGCTGGTATAGGATCACCCTTCGAGAACCATGGCCCTAAAGCAAACTTTAGAATGTAACATTCAGCCAGAGGAGGGGCCACAAAAGTCTACTAAGAAGAAGAAGCCAGTGAGGTTGGAGAAAAACAGGAGCATGAAAATCAGTGTTTCCAGTGGATCAAAGTGCCCCAGAAGGCCCAGTGAGATGTGGAATAACCACGGGACTGGGTAAGGTGGAGATCGCTGGTGATTTTGGCAAAAGCACCCTCAAGGTATGGTGGGGCCTGAAGCCAACTCAAGTGGACTGTGGGCTATTTATGGAATGGCTGAAAGGAACCAGCAGCAGGAATGTGCAGCTTCCCCCAAGAGTTTTGCTGAAAAGACGAGAGAAATGGCATTGCAGCTGGAGGCAGATAGGTGACCAAAGGAGAGATGCAAGAAAAAAAAAATTAGACATATGGGGGATGTTGAGTTGCAAACAATAATTCAGTAGCGAGAGAATTTACAATGCAGGAGGAGGGGGCTGACTGCAGGAAAGCAAAGTTCTATAGAAGGTGAGAGGTTGTGACATTTGGGGCAAACCCTGAGTGACAGAGTTGATCTTGGATATAAAAAGGCCACCTCATCCACAGTGACAGGAGAGAGAAGGAATATGGATACCCTGGCAGGTGGGTTTTCATGTTTAATATGAGGCAGATGAGCAAGTCTGATGGCAGAGGAGTGGGTATAAAGATAGAAAATCCATTCCAGAGAAACAGGAAAGCAAAACAGGAAGTGGGTGACTGGTTATTTCAGGTGACAGTTTCATTTCATTAGAGGTCTCAGCAAGGTCAAATGTTGTGGGCTAGATACTATGGGGTAATGAACTAGATTAGGAGGTCATGACTTAGAGAAGAAAGTGGGAACAAATTCTGAAAGTGGTAACATTTTTGGTATTGGTGAGGTTGAGATTCAACCATGGGAGTTTCTGGGTGGAGAAGCACAGGGTTTTGGTTGGGATGTCTAGTTGATGTCTCCAAGAGGTGAACTGGAAGTCCATCTGGGGTGTCAAGATCTCCAGGGAATCCAGGGAATGATTGAGAGGTCAGTAGATAACAAGTGTGTGGGGACAGTGTAGGAATACAGTCTGATGGCTTGAGCTTCTAAGAAACGGGGGGTTTGATATTTTTTTAAATTAACATATAATGTATTATTTGCCCCAGGGGTACAGGTCTGTGAATCATCAGGCTTACACATTTCACAGCACTCACCATAGCACATACCTTCCCCAATGTCCATAACCCAGACACCCTATCCCTACCCCCTCCCCACCAGCAACCCTCAGTTTGTTTCATGAGTTTGTCTCCCTCTGATCCCATCTTGAAATGGGAGTTTTTAAAGAAGGAAAAAGTCTTTGAAATGAGGACACCTATCATCCCTAGGCATGGAGATTCCAAGATGAGAGACAATAATGCAACTCGATAAAAGTAGTAGATTACATTTTGATTTAAACAATACCATTTAAGAAGTTCAGGATAGGAAGAGAGTAGGGGAAAGCTCTATCGGAGAGCTGGCCGAGAAGAAAAAATTGGATTTCGTAGGTTTTAAGATTTAAGATTGGATCCCTGAGACAACCCTCATTTTACTTGAGGAAACTGAAGCCTAGAGGAGGGCAAGCAATCTCTAAAATCATACAGCAAATCTGGGAGGGCAAGAAAGTGAGTTTTTTGACTCCTCATATTCTGTATTTTATTATGCTGTCCTCCAGATGCAGGAAGGAGAAAATACTTTATACAAAAAAAAAAAAAAAAGTGTGGGGGTGTATGTGTTCCAAAGCCTGATAGTAGAAATGAACTGGAAACTAGCATAAATAGTTCAGTGGTTCTTGTTTGGTCATCGATAGAGTCAGTCAGAGGAGGTCTGGATTTTGTAAAATAAAAAGGAGCTTGTTGGCATTTGCTACAATAAAACTGTATAAATCTCATAGCAATTTAAAACAAGCATTTTTAGCGTTTGGGGTTTGGGGGTGGGCTGTAGCTGCCTTTGTTCCAGGCTGCGGGTGGACACACTGGGGGCCCCACGAGGCCCTGAGATCTGAGTGTGCACATCTCCTCCCAAATTCACACTCAGTGACACCACACTGAGAGCTTGAGTCCGCCAGGCGAGCAATCAGCAAATATTGCAAATGTGCAAAGTGTCCAAGCCAGGGCAGTGTTTCTCCAGAGAGGCAGTTGTTAAACTTTTACCAGCACTCCAAGGGCTGCAGGAGAAATGTGGGAGTGTCACAGCTCCCACAGGGAAGGAGGTGCCTCCCCCTGAGACTAGCTGCTCTCAGGGTGGAGGGGAGCAACTCAAGAGTGGAAATGCACCCTGTGGCTCTCACAGCCTGTGCTCAGGACTAGCCCCCTGCCCTTTACCCCTACCTACTCTCACTGGTCAGCTCAAGTCCTATAAGAGACCTCAATGTCAGTGGGGCAGAGAAATATGCTTCACTTGCAGGGAAGACATGTTCAGTGAGGAAGCACAAAAAGCCATGCCCTGAGGGAAAGGAAGAAAATATTATTATGAGTAGATACCACAGTCTGGCTCAGCGTAGAAATGGGGAGCCATGACAGCTTCTTCAGGGGTTCACACACCAAGGTTGTAGTCATATGATACCACTAGAGGACCATCCCAATTCCAATTTTAAAGTACCTCTGTATCAGCTACTTCAATCCCCTCTAGTACTCCTCTCCACTCCTCCAATCCCTGCTGAAGCCTGGGGTTGGCTCAGTAGGGTGATCATGCTTCTGTATTGTGGCGGGCATCCTGGTGTGGAGTAGTGCTAAGAATCCAGGCTCTATCTGGCTCTTTCGAGAAGAGCTGTGTAACCTTGGGCACACTGTCCAACCCCTCTATCTCTTCCCATTTCCTCTTCTGTAAAGAGGGAATGATGGTATACACATCACGGGGTTGTCAGGATTAAATGGGTATCTGTAAGGTGCTTTTCGGAGTAGTGCCTGGGACGTGATTAATGCAGGATCTGTATTTACTATTAATAATAATAGTATGAGTGATTAATTAGAACCCATCAGACTGGTAAAATGCAGTCACAGTCATACGCTCATGGTAAGAATACAAACAAAAAGACACGTCGAGGTGTTAGAATGGTTGCATATGTCAGGAATGGTGACCAAAGAGAATAAACTACATTAAAATGTATATTGTTATATAAGGGATATGATAAAGGGCACAGATGAACAGTCAGATGAAGAGGCACATAGGGTGAAGTTTAGAAGGGTCCAGCACAGGAGTGTCTCTCCCTGTGGAGTTGGGGTGCAAACCCTCCAGGCATGGATGTGTTCACCAACCCAGAAGCTCTCTGAACCCTGTGCTGTGGGGATATTTATGGAGGAATTTTATGGATGAATGAACCACACAGGCATGACCAATCACTAATTCAATCTCCATTTCCTCTCCCCTTCTTAGAGGATGGAGGTGGGGGTGGAAGTCCCAAGCTTCTAATCACGGTTTGGTCTTTCTAGTGAATGGCCCCCATCTTGAAACCATCCAGGAGCCCACCAAGAGTAGCCTCATCACATCCAAAGACACTGTGATCGCCCAGGAAAGTCCAACACATTTACAAGCTCTGTGTCAGGAACCTGGGTCAAAAACCGAATATTAGGAAGAAAGATGTTCCTAGCACTCTTATCATCTAGGAAATTCCTAAGGTTTTAGGAGATCTGTGCAAGAAACCAGGGGCGGAGACCAGTAGTCTCCGCACACTAGTAGGAAGAGCATGTTCCTGATGGAGGCTGACTCACTTAGTGTGCATTCCGGTCCTGCCACTTCTTTTCGTTTCCTGGACAAGTTATTTAACTTCAGTTTCCTTGTTTGTAGAAAGAAAGAAAGAAAGAAAGAAAGAAAGAAAGAAAGAAAGAAAAGGAATGAGAGAAAGAGATACTGCTATTGTACTAGTTAGGATGCTTCGATTTGTAACTGAGTGAAATCAAACTTAAACTCACTCAACAGAGCTGGGGAACATTTCTTGGTGCTTAAAAGCAAACCACAGAGTTGCGGATATGATGCCAGACCAGAGATGACTGGATCCAGGCGCTCTGGCTTTTCAGGAATGCCTTTGTGTCTGCTTGCCCCTCTCTCTGGGCCTTCCCCTGGCCTCCATCTTGCCCAATCCCTACTTGTCCCTGTTCGCTTTTATCCTCTCCTGCAAAGATTAGACTATGTCCATGTGGCAAGAACCTTGACAAAAGAGAGCCAAGATTTTGATTCTTCCAGATCCATAACTCAGTAGGCAAGTTGGGATTATCCCTGCTGCTTTCTGTAGGAATATCCTGGTGAAGGGCCTGCATTGGCCTTGCATGTGTCATATGCTATCTTGATGGCTGGGGCCAGAGATGTGGTGGCACCAGAAGTATGTGTGGTAGGAGTTGGGGTGGAGGTGGGCAATGGGGAGAGTGCTGAACGTACAGTAATCATAACTGCCTTCAACCTGAGCTCGTAGGATTTGATTAGGATTAAGTAAGAGGTTCTAGGTAAAAACATGCCTGCTGTGCTTATCTATAGATGGTGGACACTCAAATATCAGTTTCCTTACCTTGCCTCTCTTGATGATTTGAAGGTATGAAAAGATATTTGAATATGCTCAGATTTAAAATACTGTTTTTGTTTCAACCTCCTGCATATTTGGAAAAACGCATACAACCGAAGCTCTGTAAATTACCTACTTTTGCTCACTCCTTCGTCAAGTTCAATGATCTGAGGATTTAAGTCCCTGGCTTAATTTATCTGTAATTACCAAGCCAGTTTTTACAAACATAAATGCAGTCGTTGAACCAAAAAAATTCTTATGATTTCTCTCCCATTGGTTTTAAGAGATCTTTCAGAGTCAGCATTTATTGTGTTGTACCTTGTTGATTTAATGGAAAGAACCCTGAGGAGATCTGGTCACCCAACTTCTCAGAAATTGTTTTTTCTCAATTTATTTAAAAATGGTGATGCTAATAAGCCTCTGTGGTGCCCATCGCAGAGGGGTGTTGTGAAAATCGATGTTAAGTAAAATCTCTTTGTAAAATGTAAAAACGTAACACAAGAATTGATAAAAAGCCTCTATTCCTTTAAATAAGTTCTTTAGAAAGGAAAGGAGAGACGTTTTCCAAGTTGGTTTATGTTGTCATAAACTGGTAAGATCTCAGATGTCTTTGAATAAAATGTCCATGTGGCACAATTTAAACTTCCTAACAGACCCAGAATCCTGTGTGCCTGTGAAAATTCCAACCCAGTCACTGCTGCAGGATGTCGCAGGACAAGCAAGGAAAGAGAAAGTGAGGTTGCCGCACTACTTGCTGAGTTCCAAGCCCAAGTCTCAACCTCTCACAAAGGTAACACAGACATGGGAACCACGTTCCCAGAGCCAGTCGGCATCTGATGTAATCCTGACTCGTTGAAGTTGCTGATTTCTAGCCGCCGCGTACTGCTATTCACTGTACGTGCGAGATCACCTTCCCATGAAGGCATTCAGGTCACACAGAGATGAGCTAAGGCTGCGCTTTTCCAGAGCCAGCTCACCCTGGCTTGGGAGAGGAAATTTATGAGCCAACTCTAAAATCATTGGTAGCTTGAAATCAGCCTGCAGGAATTCTCGCACCATGGAAATCAGCAAATGCAACTGATCAACATTCTTTGCAGAGAGCTGGGTTAACACACACTCCTGGATAAGGGGATTGGCCACCCTTCTCATGACTCAGGATAAAATCCAAATGACAGCATCACAACAAACCCTGTTTGTTTCTCTACCTCATTAATCTCTACCCTCATTACTCACTTCAGCCATTATGGGTTTCTCTGAGTTCTCCAAAACCACCAAGCTCCTTCCTTCCTCAGCCTCTAAGATAAAGATTCCCTTGCATCTCTGCTGGGAATCCTGCCTTCAGCCTACCAATCCAGTTTTGAGAATCAGCCTTCAATGCTTGCATGGCCACACCATATTCATGGCCACCACAGAATTTATTACAATGTCCGTAATCGACAACGTGATAGGAGTCCCTGGGGATCTTGTTAGCATGCAGATTCTGAGTGACTGGGGCCCAAGAGCCTGCCATTTCCAGCAAGCTCCCAGGTGAGCCCCGTGCTGCCAATCTGGGGAATAACAAGGGCATAGGACAGTGATTCTCAAAGTGTGATTTCCAGACAAGCAGCATTGGAAGTGCCTGGAAATTTATTACAAATGCAAATTCATGGACCCCATCCCAGACTTACTGACTGAAAAACTCTGGGGGGTGGAGTCAGCAATTTGGGTCTTAACCAGCCTCCTGGCTGATTCTGATGGAAGCTGAAGTTTGGTAATCACTGGCACCAAGAGCATACAGTTTAGAATCAGGCAAACTCGAGTTTGAAACTTTACTCTGCCACTTACCACTTGAGCAAATGATGTCTTTCTAGTCCTCTGAACTTGAACTTCTTTATCCTTAAACCAAAGCCTTAAATACCTCCTTACGTGCTCTTGTAAGGTTTACATAAGATTGTTAAAGCTCATTTACTCCCATGGCCAAGCAGTTCTTTTCCTCTGGCATTTGAACCTTTATCTTATCTTGGGAACACAACATAGAAACCCTTTTCTTTGATTTGATTACTGTTTCCTTAATGCAAAGGTGCAAGATTCGGTTGGAGGAAGAGTGAAAACATCCTCTGTTGCATGCGCTGCCATTAATAACAAGACTTCATCCCCTTTTGGATTCCATCTTCTCCCACCATCAGTGAATTTTGGAGTGTTGGAAGAGGGACACACCTATGCCACCACCGTGAAGCTCAAGAACGTGGGAGTGGACTTCTGCAGGTGAGGCCAAGGCACTGAAGGTCTGCTCAGGTCCCCTTCTCCAATGCTTGTCTTCAGCTGCCTGCATCAGCGAAGGTTTATTTGAACTGAACTCTAATTACACCTTGACTACTAAATCTTCATGTCATTCATTCCATCATTTACTCATTCATTCATTCATTCTTCATCAGCTCAGTATTTATCAAGCCTCAACTATGCCATGGGCCCTTCTTGGCCCTCCCATTTATCATTATTCACACTTTGGCAGAAGCAACTCAGGACTGATCTGCAGTAGCAAAGAGTGAAGGGGAAGTTGTACCAGTCTTATGGGAACTAATGCACAAATCTTGAAAGTCTGGTTCTCAGATCCACCACCAACTGTAATATCAACTGACATCTGTTTGCCCTCTCTGATCTAAAAGTGGTTTTCATTACCTTATTTCTGCATAACTGAGGCAAAAAGGGAAAAAAAAAATCACCTGAGTCTTTAGGACTCTTTTGCCTCTGAAGATCTGACTTGACCATAACCCACAACCTGTCCTTCTAGTTGAAAATATACTAGATCTGACATTCAGTGACAAGAAAAAGAGTCCTTCCTTTCCAGATCAATAGAATTGTGGAACTTGTAGAGACAGACCTTAGAGACTATTATGAAGGATCAGGGTAATATGTTTTAAGGTCTTGTAGGCTAGAGCAAGGCTGGACCTCAGATCTTCTGTGGACCTGTTTGCCTGGGACATGTTGTTTTATCAGCAAATCTGTGCTCACTGCTTCCTATGGGAATTCAGTCCTTCCCACTGGGGCAATATATTCTGTGTATATATAGGAAAACTCCCAATTACAAAAGCTCCCCTGTTCTATTTTTAATTAAAGTTGAGCATAAGGTGGGGGGTTTTCCCCCATAAAAAGTGGAATAAATGTTTATTTCAATTGCAGAGTTATGCTCAGAGTTATGCTGTAAGTGGCAAGTCCTTCCAATTTATGATCCTGGACCCAAGATTGGAAATCAGATGAAACACAACTGCAGAGGCATCTAGTTGAAAAGATCCACATCCCATTTTAGTTGAGGCAAATATCCAGCTTCAGGAAATATATTTGTTTCCTCAGAAACAACCAGGCCACCAGATCAGACATTATTGGTTTTTTAGGTTGCTGCCAACAGAGTGGGTGGGGAAAAATAGAGAATCAACTTGAAACTAATAAAACTCATCCGCGTAGATCCTGTCTACTCAGTGTAGAATTTTAGCTTTCGGATTTCCCTCCTTGGCTTGTTAATTTCAGCCGTTATAGCACAGGCAGCAAAGTTGATGGTAGGAGCAGCAGGATTGAGGTCAATGTGGAGGTAGGCTTTCCCTGGCATTTTAATTTACTCCAGGTCTTTAACCTTCAGGCAGAACCCGCAAACCACAGGAAGGGAAAGAGATCAATAAGCACCACGTGTGAGCATGGGGCTTTTCAAGTTCTCCAACATTCTCTGAGCCTTTTCTGTTTCTCCTCTGCCCAAACATGCAAGCCCCATACCACGACAGAGCAAGACTGGCTCCCATGCTCCAGCGCTTTCCAAAAGAGCCTTTATTCTTCAGCTTAATGATCTGGCAGTCAGCCTCGGTGTTCACGCCGGTGGCCACGCTGCAGTGCACATGGCAGCCAAACATTCACGACAGTCTGCCCCGAGCGGCTCGGCAGCATCCAATAACCAAGGGTGGAAACTGGGGTTGGAGTCTGTTTGACGCTGATGAAAACTGTTGTTGGAAAGGCAGTTATGAAATGGGCCCCAGATTCTTCTCCCAAGTGACAATTAGGTTGTTCTCCTAGTGGTATGGACCTCCCCGGCTCCCAGCCCCACTCCTTTGTAGCAAATATTAACACCTTCCTGATTTTACAACATCCCGGTTTGTTCATTGCTTTTTTCTTATGGCCTAAATTTATTTCCATCTTTTTGCCTGGTAGGTTTAGGGTGAAGCAGCCCCCACCCAGCACAGGACTCAAAGTGACTTACAAACCTGGGCCTGTAAGTCCTATGAGCTGTCTGTTGTGTGTGTCCGTGTGTGCATGTGTGAATGTGTGCATGTTTCCGGGGAAGTGGGTTTTTTAAATCATTCTATGCATTCGGTTTAAATCATATATAAGTCTAATTTTTCTAGTATCATAAGCAAAAGATTCCTGGTATGGGCATACCGCATGGCTTAACGTTGCATACTGCACATAATAGCTGTGGGACAGATCCTGTGTGTAAACAGTTAAACTTCCAGCTACGGAAACTTTTCTGAAGTTCACTTATTTGTCCCAGTACTACAGTTATGCACAATTGTATGAAAAATACCTTTTTATAAATTAAATGTGATTTGACATGCATTTGGAAAGCTGATTACCTAAAGGTGTCCTGTAATAAATTCTTCTGCAAAATGAAAAATCTCTTAGAAAAACAAATATTCTATTTTTTGTATTTTCTATAAATTTGGTTTGTTCTTTTGCTGCTTGCCAGAGAATATTATTTAATGATATTCTAAGAAATAGTAATATATTAGTCATCAGCTGCCTCATTTCTCCAGAGTTCTGAAAATATCAATTTTAAAATGTCAACCTATTCTAATTTTATTTGCTACATTCCCCAAAACGGGGTGCTTCAAAAAAAAAAATCTGTATACTGCTACTTGCTTTAAATTATGATTTCAGAAGTGTAGTATCAAGTAAACAGAAGTTTATTAATATATAAATAGACAAAATCTAATATATAAAATAATATATAAAACATAATAAAATCACCCTTGTAAATCTTAACATTTATTTCTTGGCACATTCCTTCCATTTCATTCAACAAACTTTGAACGCCAGTGATAGGGACCGGGGACAGGGGATGTTAAAAATGAGTAGATATATCTAAGTTGCTCCCAGAGCTGGGCACATAGTGGGGATTCACAATGTATGACTAAGTGACAGAATGAAGTAAGGACATCTGGTAGACACATACTTGTTCATCACAGACAGGGACACGCATAGTCTCATGGGAATACAGAACAAGGGCATCCACTTCCATAATGAGCATATAGTGTTCACTGAGTCCCAAGACCTTAAAACAGCCACAATTGTATGTTGACCCAGAAGGGTCCATTTGATAGGGTGCAGAATCAGTTTGCCTCTTGTTATGACTGTGCCACCAGCAGCTCAGTGATACTTTTGGTTAATTAACCCTCTGTACCTTGCCTTCCTCATGTGCAAAAGAAGTTGCTTGGACCTGATCATTTCTTAGTCCATTTCCAGCCCTAATATCTTATGGTCTACAGCACGGTAGTCTGCAGGCTCCAGTTCCAAACAGAAATCTCCTTCGGGGTTAGTTCCACCAATTCATGAGTACCTCTCTGTCACATTTCATCACTGAACTGTGTCAAGATTCCAGAAACTCTGGAACATAAAGTAAAAGCAAAAATCAAAGCAAGGTCTTCTTCCACTGTTCTGAGAAGTTAGAAAACTTTTTTCATTTAAAATAGGAGTGATGCCAAAAGCCAAAATGACTGTTGGATCAACCTTTGTAGGTACTAAAAACTCAGCATGTATTCTTTGAAGCTCATTCTCTACTGTTAGGGTTTATTATTATTATTATTGTTATTATTATTTTCTTTTTAACAGTTTTGGCTCTGCAAAAATATAATCTATAGACTTCTCCATATGTAAATCTAACCACTGTTCAGCCTGCTTAGTTGCCAATGCTGAATGAATACGCCCAGGGTCAGTGTAGATCTGAGTGGGGGCAGGGTGCCAGCTGCCTTGTGCAGAGTGGCGTCATCCCAGCTCTGCCCTCGTTGTTGGGCTGAAGGGCGAAGGGCCTGGTCCTCAGACATGGAGAGTTGGATACCCTCCAGAAAGCAGACCTTCATAAGTACATTGTTGAAGAAGTTGAAACATTTTTCAGTTCTATTATTTATAAACTATGAAGAAAAAAGTACTTGTATCTAATTGCTTTCCATGTGGTGGTTTCTGATGTATTTTTTCCAGACAGTTGTTCTCAAGTCTGCTTTTTAGCCTACCTCCTGGAGAGGCAGCTTAGGAACACAAACAGCTCTTTCTTTCCTGGCCAGTGTTCTCTTCAAGGAACAAGGCAAGAAGCCCATTCCTTGCTGTGTTTCTTCTTCATTATATATCAGGTTTCTTCTTTGTTGGTCCAGACCTCTTCCACGTAGCTTTCAGACCTAAGCAGTTTGGCATTTAAACTCATTCTGTCTCCCTCTGCTGGCTTTGTCACATCACAGGTCCTCCATTAGGCACACTATAAACCAAGAAGCAGGGCAGGGAAGTTGTGGGGTTTAAATTTACCTTTATCTGCAGGGATGCCCATAGGAACTCACTGCTAACATTCAAGAAATAGCACAAGTATGGGCATTATAAAAGTTTTCCTGCAGTTCACCACAGTACACCGACATTCTCTTCCTAAATAGCATCTGGTTTTCTCCTTCAATTTATCCTGGGTCCCATTTGCTCAATGTAACTCTACCTAACGAACCCACAAAATAACTTTCTAAATGCCATCATCCAAAAGCACCAAACATATAGATGAGAAAAAAAGATTAGAGAGTGTAACTAGCTCAAATTCAGGTTAAAACCAAGATGTGAACTCAGATATGTCTGATTCTAAAGCTACCTTGTGTCCTATAGGTGGCAGCTGGTTTGCAGACTGAACTCAAGGTGGAGTTATTTGCCATGGCCGTTGGAGAGGATGGGACCAAGGGATTAACACACATCTCACACAATATTGAGATAATGACTGAGCATGATATTCTGTTCTTACCTGTGGAAGCAAATATCCTTTAAAGCTCAATTTAAGTAGTTATAAATAGAGCAAAAATTACATATGAACAATGGGAAAACAGAAGTCAAAATGCTATTCCCTAACCCCCTCATACCCATACTCCATAGCTTCATTAATTCTTTAAGACCACAGAGTTAAATTTCTTAGGATGAAGACTGTGTCTTCACTCATCTTGTAAGTAAGCATCCAACAAAGTGCCAGTTACATAGTACATGCGCAGTAGTAACTGTGAGTTGAACAAATGCCACTGTCAGTGGCTGTCTGTGGTATCAGACAAGCAGAGTGGTTTTGAAAAGCAAGTCTTTGTCATCAAAACAAACTTGTAATCTTGTTAGCGAGTAGGAGATACTTTATTATAAAGGCTAAATGGATATTCACAGAATTACATACACACACCTTCATATTGGTGTCTCCTTCATGTGGATACCACACAGAGATCAAGTAAACTATTATATGCAAGGTACTTATGGAATATTTCTTCATATACAAAAATGGCAATTGGACTCCTTATGTAAGTCTTTCTTAAAAGACTTACATAATCTAGAATCAGAAATAAAGTGTTCCCATTTGATTCCTGTATTATTTTGTACTCCAGTGACATGAAGCATACAGTACGTTGTGTTGTAGTTATGCATCTATTTGGTATTTGAGCTGGGTCTTATAAAAATACAAAAACTTTTTATGAAAGGAGACTTAAAATGAACAAATCCACAGCAGTAAGAGAGCACCAGGTGTCAGGAAAGGTAGGGAGCTCAATTTGTTGAGAACTTAGGGAGTATTAGGACACATAGTGGGATGTTGGTTGGAATCAAGTTGTGGAAGAGTCTGACTCCCTGCTCAAACTTTATCATATAAGCAAGAGTGAATCACTGAAGATTTCCGATCCAGTGGTTGTATAATCAGCATATTTTTATAAAAATGAATCCAGTGTTACTATGCTGGCTATGTAGAAGAAGAGCAACTGGTTGCAAATTTCTATTTGCAAAGGGCCATTGGAAGGCCACTTCAGTAAGCCAAGTATAAGGACAGAAACTATCATGTGCCAAAAGTGGAAGAGAGACATGGGTGGAAAGACATTGGCAGGGGAGGGGGGGGGATGCTGTAAAATCTGAGGTGGAACCCATTGATAGAAGGAAGTTAAGAGGACATGAGTTCCACTCTAAGATTTTGGGCTCAAGTAAAGAATCATGGATATGCAGGTGTGGATCTCGATTGAGGAGTTAGAGCTGGAAATGTAATCATTTTAAGCATTTTAAGCATCACACACAGAGGTGACAACTGAACATATGGGAAAGGAGCAGAGATTTCAGGTCTGTTTAGTGTGTAGGAGGAAAGGAAGCAGTGGAGACAGAGTAAGCAAATTAGAAAGCCAAGAACTATCTCAGAAGCCATAGAATTTCAAGGAAAATATGGACATAGTTGACAGATGCTATAGAGATGTCAAGGAAAGTTCAGATTTAAGTAGATCTCTAGATTTGGCTGAAAGAAATCAATCAGGAGAGAAATGTTAAAAAATATGAATGAGACGTAATTGAAGCAGCAATATCCAAAGAAGAGCAAAAGAATAATCAGGAACAGAGCTGAAGGGTTGGTCTTGGTGAGGGAGTCGGCAAAGATGGCTAAGATTCCAGACATTCTGAGGTGAAGGGGAAATTTAGGGGAACTTGTGTCAAATGACCTTGATTTCAGTAGAAATGGAGCTGAATTCATTTGTCCACTTGTTTCAAAGGTAAGTGTCTCTAATTTGCTAGGAACTGTTCTAGGCAGTGAACAAGAGACAAAAATCCCTGCCCTCATGCAGCTTACATTTCGGGGGGGGGGGAGTCTGTATACAAAATAAGTAAAATATGGGCCATAATGGTGCTAAGTACAATAGAGAAAAATGAAAAGTAGGAAAGGGGGTACAGGGAGTGTTAAGGAGGATTCCAATTTAATAAAAGTGAGAAGACCTCACTGGGGATGTGGGTTGGTTCCCCCCCCCCCCCATATTGGTGGCAGGGTTCTTCTGTAGTGATAGAAGGAAACTAACCAAAGAATAAGAAGTTTTTTCCTCCAGGAATTAAATCAAGTCTTCATATCCTCATCACAGATTATTGGATGCTTATTTAGACTACCTGATCCCTGCTGCCAGTCACAGCAGTTAAAGTCATTTTGCATTTATGCTAATAAAGAGTCTATTTCCCTGCTCATAGATTAAAGGCACCTACCAGTTAGGCACAGATAGAGGAGGAAGAGAGTTTTATTAGATCTTTTATCTACTTCTAAAGTCAATAGTGAGAATTCATAGCCCATTTCCCAAAATCTGTCCCTATCCCTGGATGTTGATGTGATTTGGGACCTGGTTATGGTGACTGATGGCTCCTATAGGAGGACTAGCCACAGTCAGCAGAGAAGCATACACTGGGTCAACAGGAGAAATCTAGGAAATCAATATCCATCCTATATCCCCTAAGCCTAGAATTCACATTGCATTGAAAAGTACCCAAAATTGAGCTAATGATGCTAGAGAGGAGGTTCTGATTCTAAAATGTTATGAGTTTGTATATACAAATCATTTGGTCATGAAAGTCATATTCCTTAATGAGTATTTTACCAGTTTTAACAGGTAGCAATTATGATAACAGACCAAAAGATTTTCCTCAGGGAAAAGAAAATCCCATGGTCCACAGGACTTCTACGATTTCTTCCTCTACACTTGGAGTCTTCATGTCCCGTAAAATTTCTCAACGTTAAATCCAGTAAGTAACAAACGGGAATTTGATCTTCAACCATTCAAATGTGAGGCCTTAGACCTCATGTTTGGTCTTCTCTTATAGCCAGAAACTAATAAGCCACTTAATCTGGTGGGGTGGAAATACTGGTTTTAAATAATTATAATAGCTACTCCCATGTATACATGATCATATCTAATCTTCATACTAGCAATAAGATAGCGATTATCTTTCCCACTTTATAAATAAGGAGTGAAGCTCAGAGAATCTTAGGTAGATGATGTAAAAATCTAACCTATTTCAGTGTGATTCTAAAGTTTGTTCATTTAAGCACTGTTTTCAGTGTTAAGCTGACCTTCCAAAAAGCATGAGCAGCAACACAGAGAGGTCCTTCTGGACTGGAAAATTTACAATTAAGCCCATGGTTGTCAAACATTTTGGACACGAGATTCTTTATATATTCTTAAAAATTATCAAGTATCCTGAAAAGCTTTCATTCACATGGGTCTTATCTATCACATTTACCAAATTGGAATTAAAACAGAAAAAAATTTCTATGTAAAAACCATAAGGCCAATTATTAACAGATTTTTTAAATGAAAAATAACTATTTTCCATAACAAAAATTTATTACTCATGAGACATTGTTTTACATTTTTACAAATTTCTTCAATGCCTGGCTTAATAGAGCACGGCTGGGTTCTCCCGCCTGCTCTATATTTGGTCCGTCACAGTATCAGACATCACACAGCCTCTGGAAAACTCTACTGGATGCTCATGAGAGAAAAAGCCAGATAGCCTCTTGTATTAGTTTCCTAGAGCTGCTGTAACAAATTTGTACTAGTTTCTAGGGGCGGCCATGACAAAGCAGCATAGACCAGGTGGTTTAAAACAAGATATTCTCTTGTAGTTCAGGAGGGCAGAAGACCAAAATCAAGATGTCAGGGGTGGGAGGTGGAGGGGGGGTTCCTTCTGGAGATTGAGGGAGAATTTGTTCCATGCCTCTCTCCTAATGTCTGGTGGTTGCCAGGAATTCTTTGGTGTTCCTTGGTTTATTACTACATCACTTTAATCTCTTCCTCTGTCTCAAATTCTTCCCTGTGTATATGTTTCTGTCTGTCTCCTTATAAGAATACCATTCATTAGATTTAGGGGCTACCCTAATCCTGAGTGTCATCTTAAGGTCATCTTCACAGTTTCTGGCAGACATGAATTTTGTGGAGACACACCCAGTGTAATTGGCTTCTGATCCCCCAATATTCATATCCATCTCATGTGCAAGATATGTTCATCCCATCCCAACATTCCCCAAATTCTTCACCCATTCCAGCATTAACTCCACACCTAAATTCTCATCAAAATAAGCAGACTCAGTTTCACATCTCATCCCTCTAAATCAAGTATGGGTAAGATGCTGGTATGATCAGCCTCAGTCTCCCTTCCATTGGTGGATGTGTGGAGCTAGAAAATAATCTGTCAGCTTGCAACACATGCTGGTGGATAGATAGGATAGATATTCCCAAAAGGAAGAAAGTGGAAGGAATAGAGTCACTAGGCTAAAGCAAGTGTGCGACACAGCAAGGCAAATTTCATGAAGTTTTAAGGCCTTAGAATAATCATTTGTGGCTTGATCTGCCTTCTGGGCCCACAGAGGCTTCACCAGCCCCAACCTCCAGGCCTTCAGAAGTCCTGTTGGCCCCCACCCTCTCCATCCAGGGCCTGGGACAAAGTCTTACCCTCTGGGCAGCTCATTCCCTGCTTACAGAATCCCAGAAGTCTGGCAGCCTTCCTTCATCTTGTCCTATCTCTCTCCCTGTCAAGGCCAAACCAGCAGCATTTTTGCTCATGTAACATTCTCAAAAACCTGTCAGTCTTCATGGAAGTCAAGGAGATCCACATCATTAGACATGAGGCTTCTCCACAGATCCTCCCTGGATGACTGCACTTCTATTCCTGGCTTCTGCTGAGATGCCTGATTGTGTCCGTGGTCATAAACCTAATCTCTCCAGCACACACATCCTTGGTGACCACTCCAGGGTATGCCTTTGCAATGTTTTGCAGTATGGATAGAATGTTAATTTTTGAACTCATCATGTTTTAGTTCCTTTTTGCTAACCAGTTCCTTCCTCAAATTCTTTCTTTCCCCTTGCATTCGACTATAGGCAGCAAGAAACCAGGCCACATCTTCCATTTTTGCTTGGAAACCTCAGCTGAATATTCATTGTTCACAAGTTCTACTTTAAACCCAAAAGCAGAAGACAATTCAGCCAAGGTTTCTGCCACCTTTTAACTTTTCCTCCAGTGTCCAACAACATGTTCATTTCTGAGGTTGCACCAGAAGCACCTTTAATGTTTATACTTCTATCAGTATTTTTGTTCATGGTGATGTAGAAATTCTCCGAGACGACAGAAACTTTCTCTGCTGCCTCCATGGCTTCCTTCTGAACCGTCACCAAAATTGTTTTTAAGTCCTTATGTCTACCAATGATCATTTAAAGATACCTAGACTTTTTATCACACTTCTCAAAATTCTCCCTTTACTCATTGCCCAATTCCAAAGCCACTTCCACATTTTTAGGCCTTTGTTCCAGCAGCATCCCACTTCCTGGTATCACTGTTAGTTTCCTGAGGCTTCCATAACAAATTACCACAACCTGGGTGATTTAAGACAAGTTAGTATTTTCTTGCAGTTCAGGAAACCAGAGCATTCAGGGCTGGTTCCATCTAGAGGCTGAAGAATTTGTTCCTGCTGTTCTCCTAGCTTCTGGCAGTAGTCAGTCCTTGGTGTGCCTTGACTAAAAGCTACATCACGCCAATTCCAGTCTCTGCCTCTGTGGTCACATGGCCTCCTTCCCTGTGTCTCCTCACACTGCATTTTTACATGACAGGAGTCACTGGATTTAGGGCCCACTCCAATCAGGTATGACCTCATCTTAACTAATCACCTTTATAAAGACCCTATTTCCAAATAAGTTTACATTCACAGGTTCTAGGTAGATGTAAATTTTTGGAGACCACTCTTTAAACTACTACAGATTTTAATATTGTTTTGAGAATATTTCTGACCTTGCAAACTCCTTGAAAAAGGGTCTTATAGACCCCCAGAAGTCTTAAAATATACTTTGGGAACCAGTGAAATCATGGTTTATGTCAGTTCTACTCTATGACTTTTGGAAGTTACACTAAACTGAGAAGTGGTGAAATCTACATCACTAGTTAGACAACTCTAAACTACAGAACAGCGTTCGAATAGATACGTAATTCCTGTTGGCACCAATATATCCTAATTTCGTGAATCTACCTAATAGAAGAAATGTCTTAAGTGATGTTGCCTTTATGCCTCTGTTCACAGTATCAGAGTTAATGTGATTGAAAGATGCCCACTATACTTATTCTTTTATTATAAAGACAAGTATCTAGTGTAAAGATTCTAATATCACCAAGAGCTAACAGATAATATTTTAGTCTTTTTCTTTCCCATCCCTTCTAATGTGTGTGTGTACTGGAATCATTCTGTAGTTTTAGATCTTGTGTAGTTCACGCAGTAACAAGAGTACCGTTCTTGTATTTGAGCCAGTAAGCACTTCACAATAACTTTATGAAGGTAGACACTTATGTGCCTAATTTATAGATGAGGAATCCAAAACATCACGTTAGGTAATTCGCTCTATAGAAGCTCTATTAGTTATCTGTTGCTACATAACAAATTACCCCAAAACTTACTGGCTTAAAGCAACAGACACTTAAGATCTCATAGCTTCTGTGGTTCCAGAATCCAGACAGCTCAGTTGGATCCTCTGGCTTAACTAGGAATGAACGTGCTTTCAGCCTACTGAGGTAGTCGTCAGCAGGATGCGGTTCCTTGCCACGTGAGGCTCTCCTAAAGGAATCTCACAGCAGGGCAGCTGGGTTTATCAGAACAAGAAGAGCCTGAGAGTGTGAGCAAGGCAGAATTCACAGTGTTTTATAACCCAGTCCTGGAACAGACATGTTATTAAGTTTGCTGTATTCTGTTCTTCAGAAGCCAGTCACTAGGTCCTGCCCACACTCACGGGAAGGAATTACACAAGGGCAACTCCCATGTGACCTAACAAGGGTTGGGGCCGTGACTGTTGGACCACGTGTGCTCAGTGTGTGCTCAGTCCTCAAATCACATGAGAGCTGCTTGCAGCCCACAACATTTCAGAAATAATGACAGGACTTAGAATATAAGGTGATGTTATTCCTAAGAACCTCAGTCTCATCTCAAAACGTGGGATCTTTCATTGTGAGGAAAGGGGGCAGATTGTGGATAGTGTATGTAGGCCAGGTAGCTTCTTCCTGAGTCTGTGGCTGGCCTGGAAAGGTTACACAGGCTCATCAATTGTACTGATAAGGAGGTGGAACCCTACATACAGTTTTGAGCCCAACGACAGACACCACTGCCTCCTTGGTCACTATCCTACGTCCTCTCCCAGATTTAGAGATTTCTGTGAGAGATCTATGACTTAGGACACTTGAACTGAGAAACCATTTAATAACCAAGTACACCAAGCACCTAACTTCCAGCCAGGGAATCTCAAAATGGTTAAGCGTTATCTTCTTTACATAGAGACATATATAAAGATATAAAAGCTTAGATGTTCTATGCCCAATAAACCACTCATGAGGCTTTTCTTTGTGGCATCAGCAGCTTCTACAGCTACACTGCATAGTTTGCAAGGTGTGTTACTCGTTACATGGTTCTGGTACTAAGGACTGAATCTAGCCAATGACCAGCTAAGCCAGTAAATGCTGACTTAATGCCTGGAAACTGGCTTGGCTTAAAATTTTTAAAAAGTTTTTTTTTAAAGATTTTATGTATTATTTTTAGAGTACGAGTGGGGAGAGGCTAAGGCAGAGGGAGAAATTAGCTGAAGCCAACTCTGTGGATTGCAGAGCCCGACAAGGGGCTTGATCCCACAACTGCAAGATCATGACCTGTGCCAAAACCGAAAGTCAGATGCTGAGCCACACAGGGGCCTCTAAAATCTACTTTATAACTGACT